ATAGTGCTCGATACAAAAGTAGAGCATAAATATAATTATTAATTTAAAAATATGATTCCAACTCGCGACATAAGAGGTCTCATGTTTCAAAACAAGAGCCGAAAACTTCAATATAATTATTTGAATTAAATTGAATTAAAGTAAGCTCTGTTCCATCTTCAAGCGAAATTTTTTTGGAATAACTTATTTCTGAAATTTACGTGTTTTAATAGTATATTCATAATTGAAATCAAAATTTCCATGGCAACAGCCAGGGCGAATTGTTCAAAATAGTTAGGGGTGTATATATATATATATATATATATATTAAAGGCAACAGTCCAAGTGTATCCTAGTAATATAATATATTAAAACTGATCCACTAAAAGAGCTCAATGTATTTATTATTACAGAGCAAATAATTAATAAACAATAAAATCTAAAATCACCTCATATGGGGAATAGGCCTATTTCGGCAGTCGAAGATATCGGTAGTCTGTCTTATTAACCCCGGTTGCATACCGGCGTTGATAAAACAGACAACCAATATTTTTGTTTGTTGAAATAGGCTATCCCCTATATGATATGAGTTTGGATTTTATTGTTTATTTTATTATATATATATATATATATATATATATATATATATATATATAAAGACATTTTATGTTTATACATTCTTTTAAAACAGAGCATTTACTTAAATATTTGTATCTATAAAAAGAATGTATAAACATAAAATGTCTTAAAATAATTGTCGGACTTTGTCCATTTCATATATATATATATATATATATATATGTGTGTGTGTGTGTGTGTGTGTGTGTGTATGTGTGTGTGTGTGTGTGTGTGTGTCAATAATGTAATTTCAATATTATATAAGAGAGGATAATAAATATTTATAATATTAGAGATATTATTTTTATGTTCATAACGATGTACAAATGTTTATATACATAAACAAAATTTAGAAATATGAATGATTATTTGACTTTTCAGTTGTTATAGGAAACTCACAAGATTAGCAATTGTAAATGTAAAAAGAAAATGATTTTAAAAGTTAGCGTATATAAATAAGCGTTTATCTAAATCAATAAACGGCAAATTCTGTCAGTCCGTCCACGTGTCTGAAACCCCACCTCTAACTCGGGCCACACTTGCTCTACACAGACATATAATACCTTTTTAAAATCAGGATGATCCCCAAAAATCTTCATTTTCCTCTGTTGCATGAAGATACATCATTGGAATTTGTGTCCGGATAAGAAGGGGAAAGTTGAAAATTTAATTTATAATAACTGAAAAAAATTAGTGGTTTTAAAAGCTTTTAATTTATATTGAGTTTAAACTTTGTAAAGCAACACAAAAACTTTGTGAATTTAAAAAAAAACAATTGTTTCAAATTCAGTTTAAAATATCTCCAAAACTTTGTGAATTGAGGAAATTAGTTTTATTTCTTCAAAGTGAAGTTTTGAAGTTCTATAGATTTGGGGATTTGAAGAACTCAACACAATTGATGTTCCTCGGTGTTTGTGATCTGAAGAAGTCAATTTTCGGCCTGAATTTGAAATTCGGCCCAAATCGGTCTTTTGGCCGTAACTGGACTTATAACCCGAATCAGAATTAAAATGAAGTTTTGAAGTTCTATGGAGTGAATTGAGGTATTCAAAGTTATTTCTTCAAAATTGCTGTCTATTAAGTTGAACCAGCATCCTTTTTACCTTTGGACTGGAGGCTCAATTACCCCCCCCCCGCGCAGAACCTGCTTAAAAGTGCGCATGGAGTACAGATTTTTTAGCTAATAAAAAATAAAATAAAATTGACATCAATACAATCATTCTTATCCGAAGTCGTGACGAGTGAGAAATCACGACACGAAACCCAGAAATGACACAAGTATTGTGAACTTTATTATTTTTGACACAATATATATATATATATATATATATATATATATATATATATATATATATATATATATTTCTGATACCCCTGATGTTTTTCATTTCAAGCAGTTTTCAAACCATGTACATATAAAGATAACCATGAATCTATATCTGCATTTATGTGTGTGTGTGTATCTGCGCGCGCGTGCGCGCGCGCGTGTGTGCGTGTGTGATATGCTTTCAGATCTTGGGTGATCATGGCTCTCCTCCCTCTCTGTCTTTTCTCTAATTATTTTTCTTTTACGACTCTTTTTCTCTTCATTTTTTCTTCTACCATCCTTTCACTCAAAAAGCCCTTCTGCATATTAAATTCTCCAAGCATTTTTTAAATTTTTTTTTGCGTGTTCCATATATTTCACTACCATATAAGAGATTAGACACTACATAGCAATTCAACGTTCTTTTCTTCACTTTTAAGGATATTATTCGATTCCTTAATACTTTGCTCAGCTTCCTAAACGCATCTTTCGCTATTCCGATACGCCTGCATTACACTTTCTGTCTCTGCTATTTTTATTACCTAAATCATTACAATTGGGCTTCTGTTTCATTTTTACATCCCCGATATGTAATTCACATTTTGCGTTGGCCCTTTTGTCGATAACCATGCATCCTGGCTTCATAATTCTTAGTTCTTCTTGCTTTTCTCTGATTATTTCATTCAGTTTTCTTTCTATGTCAGCCATTGGCACAGTATTATCTGTGTAGTGTTTGGGTTAAGGTTATGTCAGCCGACAATAAATCTTGATAGAACTTCTTAAAGAGCGATCTCATTGTTACAGATGAAATAAAGAAATCGGGAAAATTTCTGTTTGTATTCATTCTCTAAATTTATTCTTTATCCAGTTGCAAGCTATTTGTTCTGAGTCGAGGTTACTGATGACTTGAATATCTTTTGCGTATAAATCAAGTTTCTCTATTATTTTCAGTCGGACTTTGTCTTTTACTTTATCAAATTCCTTCGTGTAAACTTAGCATGTAAAATAATAAATAACGTATTTAGGTCGAGAGAATATTGTGTTTGTCAAATATAAAGGGTTTCTATAAATTATATATACAATTTTTATCACTTTAAACGTTATTTTTTGTGGATACCCATATTTAAGTAGACGCTCTGTTTATTTATTAAACAGTTTATTTATTTATTATCGTCTACTGGCCTGAATGTTCGAGAAATCCTATTAAAGAAAAAATTACGCTCTCTGACAGGATTCAAACCTGCGTCACTCTAGACAGAGATGGAGATAACTCTACAGGATTTATTGGATAACCTAGGCAAGAAAATAAAATTTTACTTAAGCACATCAGGAAACTTTCTCAAAGACTCCATTAGTTGCACGCAACGCATCTAGACGATTTCTGTTTTATGCAATACTCTTCACGCTTTTATAAAATTCTTGTGCCAGACATGGGCGTTACAACGACTTGATGATTTTCTTTTCATCCTTTGTATTGTAATTCCGCTGAACTCGTGTGTGCAATATGGTCTCCACGAACGAGGATAGACAACGAGCGTCACTAATTAGCACTTTTTAACAACTGAGAAGACATACGAAAGTGAATTAAAAACAAACATTCTACAGGATATTATTTATATTATTCGGACTATTGTCCTCATCTTTGTCGCCATATTTATTACAACGTTTCGGCCGTTGTACGCTCCGGCCTTCTTCAGGTGGTTGGAAAGTCGAACTGAACCCTTTATTTCGCTCGCTGGGGTAGACTGTTCTAGTTCCACGTGCCATGTTTAATACTCGGTTAAGGCAGTGGTGAAATTTCAGAGGGAAATTAACAGGAGATAACTGATAACTGACATCCATTAAACAGTATTAAATAGTATACATAATACCTCATCACAGAAATATAGACAGATTCTACAGGATATTCGGGTTAAATTTGACAGGTTTTTTTCTTTTCTTACGGGTAAAAAAGTGAATATCTGACCCAAAAATCAATTTATAAGAAAAATGGAAAAGTGGCATCCAGGTTATAATAATCAAAAGACAATTCATTTAAAGAAGCCACCCTCAGTATCTACCGCAGCCTCGATCTGACTCCGGAATCTGGCGCATGCGGCCTTCACGATGTTCCTGTGGAGACCCTCAAAAGCCTCCTTAATTCCGTCGGATCTTGGTGTTACAGGTTGTAAAAATTATCTTAAAATCACTTCTGACACTTCTTGGAGGTGTGGTAGGGAGCTTAATCTTGCTGCCACAGATATGGTCTTCCAGTAGCAAACCTTTCCCACGAAGGCTTGATGACAGTGTTCAGCAACTCAACATAGCTATCTGGATTGAGTCTGAGACCCTGTTCAAAGATGTGAAGTGGCATAACATCGCCCTCACTGGAGACACACCCCAAAACCATCACAGTTTGGGGAAACTTCGTCTTCATGACTCGAGGGACGTCATCTGGATTGTAGGCAAGCTGTTGTGCAGTTGATCCTGACAAAAATTCTTTTCATCAGAGAAGAAACAAATTGATTCAACAGGATATTTAACCTTGTTCAGGAGTTTCTTTGCCTTTGACAAAGAGTTTTCTCGAGCCATTTTTGAAAGAAGTTGACCTTTACACCTCTTTCAAAGCCAGCTTTATGGTGGAAATTCAAATATCTATTTCCTGTGCCAAAGGCCGCATTCTCTTGCTTCGGTCTTCCATCACTTTCTTCTGAAGTTGTTGCATAAATTCTAGTGTACGGCGGCAATCAGAACGTCTGTTGTGGTCTTTCCTACAAGTCACAGACTGGTAGTCACCGTTGCAGCTCTCCATTTCATATCTTATTGTAGAGTTATAGGGCCAGACGTTGGGGCTGGTGAAGTGGTCAAAATTCTCTAACAACCACTTCAGACTCTTCCTGGAGACGTACCAGGGAGCCGAATCTTGCTGCCACACATATAGTCTTCCAGCAAACAGCCTCACCAACCAAGACGTGACCACGGTGTTCAGCAACTTCACATAGTCTTCATGACATAAGGAACGTCATATGGATTATAGGCAAGCCATCTTTTGTTCTGGGTGTTGTGCAGCTGACAAAAATTCTTTTCATCAAAGCCAGATTGTCACTGGTTTAACAGCATGTTTCAACCTGTTCAGGGGTTTCTTTGCCCTTGCCAGACGGTTTCTCGAGCTTTTTCTGTAAGAAGTTGATCTTTATACCTCTTTTATGACTGCTAGCGAAGGTCCTCATTCAAGGACAACTTTATGGTAGAAATTACAACACCTACTTCCCTCATTCCCTTGTCTCGGGCTTACATCACTTTCTCCTTTGGATGAAATCTGGTATACGGAGGCAATCAGAACATTTCCTACAAGCCACGGCCTCGTAGTCATTTATTGCTTTCACGATGTTCAAAGAGCATTGAGCAGCTGTCATGTTTGCGGCATTTTGATGCCCATTACGAATCATCATGATGTAGGTTACCCTTTTCCAATATTCAGATGGCTTCCGTTTATCAATGTCAGTTAACCTTGACACCTCTAAAACTGTAGATTAGGTGTCACAATGCCATTTATTGTTTACAGATATTTGAAACAAATAGTTAAAAATAAAGAAACATTATACTCTGTCAACTTCAGCCCGAATACTATATATATATATATATATATATATATATATATATATATATGTGTGTGTGTGTGTGTGTGTGTGTGTGTGTGTGTGTGTGTGTGCATTTTGGAAGCAATTCTTCTTGTATACATGCTTCGTTAAAGACGTCTGACAAGGCAATGCGATGAAGCTTTTTTTTTTAACTTTTTCCTCTGTTCGTACATGTGTTTTCTTTTCTGGACACAAAGTGTGTAAGAACTATCCAGCAGTTCTACATATCCGAACACCTTCGGCGATTCTTTCAGTCATTTTTAATTTTTAACTAAATATGTATTTTTTTATGCATGCGTCTAACGTTATAGGAACACTTGTACGAACACAAGAAAAATTAAATAAAAATCTTAATCGCAGTACCTTGTCAATCGACTTAAACGAAACACACACGCACACACACACACATATATATATATATATATATATATATATATATATATATATATATATATATTAGACCCGTTCATTTCTGTTGGATTTTAAATCATTCCACTCGGAGAAGATATTACTTTGTCTCATTATCTCCACTTTAGTTACGGATACTAGTGTTATGGGATCTTACCAATAATAATAATAATGGACTATTCCATACTTATTAAATATTGCGCCTCAGGAGTAGGCAACGAGTCTGTCGCTCACTTTCTGAGCGACGGTTCGGTTCAACTCTCTGTCTACGGACGGAGAGGAACCCGAAGGAGGCTACGCCGAAGGGCGGAGTCTCCTTCGGGGAGGTAAAACCGGCCCTGAACCCGTTTATACGGGTTCAAATGGGCTATTTTTTGGCCGAGCCTAATGGCTCGGAAAGCCCACGTTAAAAAGGCCTTGTGCCACATGACGCCCTCGTGGGGGGACGACTAAATATAGTCTGTCGCTCACTTTCTGAGCGACGGTTCGGTTCAACTCTCTGCTTTCGGGCGGGAGGAACCCGAAGGAGGCTACGCCGAAGGGCGGAGTCTCCTTCAGGGAGGTAAAAACCGGCCCTGAACCCGTTTATACGGGTTCAAATGGGCTATTTTTTGCCGAGCCTAATGGCTCGGAAAACCCACGTTAAAAAGGCCTTGTGCCACATGACGCCCTCGTGGGGACGACTAAATATAGTCTGTCGCTCACTTTCTGAGCGACTGTTCGGTTAAACTCTCTTCCTACGGGCGAGAGGAACCCGAAGGAGGAGTCTCCTTCGGGGAGGTAAACTCGGCCCAGAACCCGTTTATACGGGTTCAAATGGACGCCCCTCGTGGGGGACGACTAAATTTTTGCCGAGCCTAATGGCGCCGGGAATGCCCAACGTTAAAAAGGCCTTGTGCCACATGACACCCTCGTGGGGGGGTGACTGAATATCGTCTGTCGCTCACTTTCTGAGCGACGGTTCGGTTTACCTCTCTGTCTACGGACGGAGAGGAACCCGAAGGAGGCTACGCCGAAGGGCGGAGTCTCCTTCGGGGAGGTAAAACCGGCCCTGAACCCGTTTATACGGGTTCAAATGGGCTATTTTTTGGCCGAGCCTAATGGCTCGGAAATCCCACGTTAAAAAGGCCTTGTGCCACATGACGCCCTCGTGGGGGGACGACTAAATATAGTCTGTCGTTCACTTTCTGAGCGACTGTTCGGTTCAACTCTCTGTCTACGGACGGAGAGGAACCCGAAGGAGGCTACGCCGAAGGGCGGAGTCTCCTTCGGGGAGGTAAAACCGGCCCTGTGCCCGTTTATACGGGTTCAATTGGGCATATTTTGGAGCCGAGCCCACGGGCTCGGAGAACCCACAATAGATAACCGACCTTGTGTCACATGATGCCCCAGTGCGGCTGGGGTGACTAAATATCGTCTGTCGTTCACCTCCAGAACAGCTGTTCGGTTGAACTCTCTGCTTTCGGGCGGAGTGGAACCCGAAGGAGGCTACGCCGAAGTCGGAGTCACTTTCGGGGAGGTAAACCGGCCCGGAACCCGTTTATACGGGTTCAAGGGACATATTTTTGGGCCGAGCTCACGGGCTCGGAGATCCCACATTAAATTACCGGCCTTGTGCCACATGATGCCCCAGTGGGGGGGGTGACTGAATATCGTAAGTCGCTCAAGTCCTGACCGGCTGATCTGTTGAACTCTCTGCCTTCGGGCGGGGAGGAACCTGGACGAGGCTACGCCGGAGAGCGGATTCTCTTTCGGGTAGGTAAAACGACCCTGAACCCGTTTATACGGGTTCAATGGGCGTATTTTTGGCCGAGTACACGGGCTCGGAGATCCCACGTTAAACCGGCCTTGTGCCACATGATGCCCTCTTGGGGGTGGTGACTGAATATCGCCAGTAGTTCAAGTCGAGTCAGTAGTTCAATTCGTCAGTCAGTAGTTCAAGTCGAGTCAAGAGTCGAGTCAGAGGCAGTCCGAAACAGAGTCGCGTTCAGACAATTACTGCAAGACATTGGCATAGTGATACTGGTCGAGACTGCATTGTTCTCTCTACTAAACCTGTTTGTTCATACTAACACTTCTACTTCTCTGTATATATTCCCGTTTGTAATATATCTGTGTTATCCTATATCCGTGTTCGAGTTCTTCTTTATTGGTTCTACCTTGGACTATCACCGTGGTACAAGGAACCTGACCATAACACTAAGGTTGTTTCATTAACGCAGATTGTATAAAGGGTGTTTCATTAAGACGGATCAAAATCAACAGTAAATAAATCAGTGTTATTGGTGAAAATTTATTTCTCTATTCGGACAATTTCTACACATTCTGTATCTAAAAAAGCACTTGTTCGAACACAAGAAAAATTAAATAAAAAGCTTAATCGCAGAACCTTGTCAATCGACTTAAACGAAACACACATACACATTTCTCGTCTTATTTCTTTCGCGTTGTTCAAAGAGTATTGGGCAGCTGTCATGTTTGCGGCATTTTGATGCCCATCACGAATCATCAGGATGCAGGTTACCTTTTTCCAATATTCAGGTGGCTTCCACTCATCCATTTCAATTAATTTTGACAACTCTAAATTAGGTGTTACAATAATAAAAAAAATAATATTTCTTTAACATGCAAAGAAGTGTATTGATCGATCTTGACTCTAATGGATACAATAAACTGTGGTAGTTGTAGAGATAATTTATGGACATCTTTCATGTTTCTTCGCTTTATATATTTGGATTTAATTATAAATAAACATTTAGCAAACATGGACAAATGTCCCGGCAAAAGGTTGTAGTGTCAAAAGAATAGTTTTTTTTTTCACACAGCACCGCATTTGTTTTAACTACCTTCCCTGCTCGGAAATATATATTGTTTTTAAAAGCGATGATTAGAATTGGAATAAAACCTAAACATATGATAAACATGAATTTATACGGTTTTTTTTTTTGGGGGGGTCGTTCTACCGGTGAGGAAGTATATATATATATATATATATATGTGTGTGTGTGTGTGTACAGGGTGGTAGTAAAGTCACTATACAGATACTTATAATAAAAAAACATATAAGAAGTAGGTAGTTTGCAGTATTGGTAATTAATTTACTATTATTTAGCATAGCATTTTATTATTACTAACCAGTATCAACCAGGACCATTTTAATAATAAATTTCTAGACTGTTGATTAATTTGCTTTGTCTTAATTGTTATTGTATGTAACTATACAGTAACTTTATTGTCACCGTGTTATATATATATAAACAGTCGATTGCTGATACCCCATATGAATGGGCGGGTCCGTCTATAAAATTCTGGAGTCGGGATGCTGAAGGTAACATCAATCAGCTAAGTGACAAACCTTTTGCTATGATATATATATATATATATATATATATATATATATATATATATATATATATATATATATATTTATGTTTATGTGTGTGTGTGTGTGTGTGTTACTTGTGCAAATCCTCGGATTATCTTCTAATCGTTGTACAAAATAGTGCACATATACGCGCAAATGAACAAGTGGGAGGTGAAAAGCTCTCGGCCAGACCAAGACGTAATATCAAAAAAGGCTCTCCTGTCATTTGGCCAGCGTTTGGGAAGTTGACCGGTCCGACAAATTTTCACTATCCAGTTAGCATGTGTAGCTCAGTGTTTGATTGCAGTTTTATAGTTATCTATTTAATAGTTATCTATTTAATAGTTATCTATTTAATAGTTATCTATTAATCTATTTAAGAAAAAAAAAAAGTCGTCTACTAAAAGCCACATTGTGCATATACCCATACACACACACACGCACGGACATTATTTCGATATTTGGTGATGTTGATATAAACTCACCGGTGGATTTTGTTTCTCTGGCCAAACAAAGAAGTAATGATTGCATTGAATAACACGAGGAACTTTGTATTCAAATCAAGTAACAGTTTATTTTGATCGATTTACAAAAAAAAAATGAGTTTATTAACTGACTCATTTTGTTCAGATTATATTAAATTGAACTTTTACACTATCAGCTGTCTCTTGCTTACAAAGCATACACCTTAACAATAGAATTTAATAAAAAGCATCATTTTTTATACATTAATTTTTATTTAATGCCCACGCTAAGCAGATCTAT